TTCCCTCCCCCCCCTTTAACCCATACCCCACCACTAACAACTCCCCCCCCCCCCCCCCCCCCCCCTCCCTCCCTCCCGCTCCTCCCCCCTTCCCCCTCTACTCTTTCCACATCCTCCCCCATCCTCCGCCACCCCCCCCTTCCCATCCCCTATTTCAAACTCCCCTCCTCCCCCGAAACTAAACACTCATCCAGCTCCAACTTTCCCCCGCTGGCCGCCCGTGGCTGCCGGCCGCTCCCCATGCGTCGTCCCTCGTCTCTGCCCCGCTTGCCATGCATGGCGCCGCCCCGCCTTGGCAACTCACCGTGTGCCACGTTTGTCACCGATGTCTAGTCCATCCCCCAGGTTCAACATTGCTTCTCTGTCCCGCCTGTCGCAATCTCGTCAACCTCTCGGGCCTTCCCCCTCTATCCACAGCAGCGCAAACCTCATGCGTATCATGCAGAACCGTCATGCTGCATCCCCTTGGGACACGCGTCGTTGTCTGCCCGCTCTGTGCTACGCATACACCAGCGTCTCTCTCTTTCTACGTCTGCCCTGGCTGCGCTCTATATCTCGTCTATTCCTCAACACTGCCTGCTGTAGTCTGCGCTGTGTGCCATACCCTTGAACCACCAATTGACAGGTCTCCAGCTGGCGTCCCGGCCCTCATGCCGCTCAAGCCAAATGACCCGCCCCGCCCGATGCCACGGCTACCACCGAGGCGCATCCCTTGGCTCCCAAGCACCCCTGTTAGACCAGTCCCAGGACCGAGACCCGCTCCAATACCTAGATCGCTTCCAGACACTCCCGCTAGAAGTCAGAGGCCTGTCAGACCCCATTCTACACCCGTCGAAGCCATGCAACAACTACCAATGCACGATCCATCATCAACAAGTCAAGAACAAGATGTCGGTCAAACCAACCCCGTATTGGTCCATCGGCAGTCCGGACTACCCCCTCATCGATCGCAGGGCCGTGCCCCCAAAGACGACGATTTTCCACCAATTTCTAACCAAGAACACCCGACGTAGCGGTTTCCGAGTCACAACAATATAACAGTGGAACAATATCGACAGTCCGTCAGAGAGGTTCCATCTAACTTTGATGAAGAGCTCGCTCTCCCGCTACCTCCTGGGATTCAGACTGCGTAGATCACGAGCCGATTGCTTTGATCCTGGATAGAGCGCTTTGGAGGGTCGCTAGCATAATCGGTCGCCTGCAGATTCCCCTCACAGCCTGTTGAAGGCTAGTTTTGTTTTGTGCCAGTTGACAAACCACGAAAGCTAGATACTCGAGCATGCTGTGCCATTGAGCCCATGCACGTGCCGTGCTCGTCAAAAAAATATTCTTTTCCCAAGCCATCTACGTCCGCGCCTTTCAGCAGTTGTGATCTTTGCCAGTTGTGACTCTAGCAGAGCACTATGCCCATCGCTCACAGCTTCTCTAGAAGGCGATGCGCATGTCACTCTTGTAGCAAGACAAAAATTTCAAAACACAACTCCGACATCGGGAGTCGGGGAATAGTATCTCTTTATTTGTTGGGACCACCATCAGTGTGCGGACGAATCATTCCTGCCTGGTGCTGTGCTTGAGCTGTTCCTGCTTGTAAGGCACTTGCGTCAAGCTGCGCGGAAACAGCACCGGGAGGCAACGGAGATGTCCGCTGCTGCACCGGGGCCTGGGGATGCTGCGCAATACCTTGACCTTGCGGTAGCTGTAGCTGGGTGTGTGAAATAAGCAGTTGACCTTGCTGTAATGGCGTTTGGTTTTGGTGCATCGGTAGTTGCATTTGTTGCATTGGCAACTGACTGTGCTGCAAACCAGGGCGCCCGTGATGCATTGGTATCCCACTGATACCCGGAGGCGGTCTCAAGGAACCCAGAGTACCCTGGGGTTGCAGTTGAGGCATGGAGGCAACCGGGTGTACGACAGCTGCACTTGATTGCATGGTCATTGCTCGACTCTGCGCTTCGCTCTGGATGCGCATTGCAATTGCGTCAACACGGTCTGCAAAAACCCGCTGTCTTTGCTTCTCCAGACGCTCGCGTTCTCTCCTAAGATGCTGATTAAGACGTTCAAACTCCTTCACTTTCAAGTCAACAGCTCGCATCTTCGTCTCGATAGCAACTGCATAACGCCTTTCAATTTCCCTCATCTCAGCTTGGGCTTTGTGAAGAGCCTTGGACGCGGCAGCAGCAAGTCCTACAGCGGCGACTGATTCCACTGCAACTGAGTCTAGTTGTTTACCAGGCAACGAGCTCATCTCCGTCCCACGAGCGGTGCCTGCATTTGGAGAGAAACCGTTCTCTGTCGACGAGCGCTTTTGCTGTGCGGGATTCATGAGAAGAGCTTTGGCCTGGGCTGTCCTGTTTTCTTGCTTCGGCGATTTTGGTCCAGACTGTGACGTAATTGCATTGAGCGCAGCCTGCGCCGCTGCAGCGGCTACTTCGGGGTCGACCGAGGACGCCAAGAAAGCTACTTGCGCCATGATAGGGTTGGCAGTGTCGTAAAAAGGAAGAAGGGGACCCGAAAAGTGATGCTTTCCCGATGCGTTCGTGTCTTTCACATCATCAACCCCCTCCTCACCGTCCTCACCCATAGTCCAGTTCCCAACCTGATCTTCCAAGAAGGAGTCTTCTAATGGAATTCGAAGGAACTGGAGTACACACTGCTCGGTGCCTTTCGTGCCGACATGTTCTGCAACCTGATTCCAGTTGTCTCCATGTTTTTCGAGGCCCTCTAAAAGTAATAACACCTCTGCCTCACTCCACACAGAACCATCATACGCTTCTGAGGCAAGTACTGTGGTCAATTGCTCGAAATCCCTAGCCGAGAAAATTGCAGGGTACATGCCGTTCGCAAAACATGTTGGGCACAGCTCCATGTCTGCATTTGCAACGCAGTGATATCTCATTCGAGAGCAGTCTTTACCGCATGCGTCGCATTCGTACTTCGTAGCAGCTGCGGTTGAATATAATTCACGGCGGGAGAGCACGTGACTTCTAGCCCTCGTCCCTTTTTCCTTCGCAGCCTTGACAGCCTTTTGTAGAGACACTGGGCCGTTGTCACGGCGGGGAGGGCGGGGTTCGTCAAAGAACAGAAGTCTTGGAACGCCAGTCGCGGGTGCAGCTACATTTGAGTCCAGCTGCATCGGCGTTGGGCGAGAACGACGTGGTAGAAGAGCCGAGTTCAGAAACGGCCTACTCTCAGGCTCTGTTCCGTAGTTGATCAGGCCCCAATACTCCAAAAATGCATGTACCCTCAGGATTGCAGACACATCCCCGGCCAAGTGACGACGTGCAGCTGTGGCAGTTAGGTGCTTGTCAGGCGACTGCCTCCAGACGTCAATCATAAAGTCTCGGTATTTTTTGTAGACTAGCGGGGTTTTAGACTCTCCTCGACTGTTCCAAAATTCCGGTAAGGACCTTCTTTCTATGTCATGAACAGCATCCATTCGGAACCATCGGCTCTGAGGAGGAATTCTAACCGTAACTGGAGGAAGGGCCTCCACAACATCAGCTGTTGACACGGGGTCGTTGGCTCGGTCACCTGATAGCATCTTTTCAGATAGAGCCATTATCCTCCCATTGCCATCACCTGAATCCACATCCATAGCTTCTTCAGCAACGGTGCTCACCTTCCCCTTTGGTTTGGCTGATACTTCATCAGTGTCCTTCTTGTCACCAGCATCAATTTCTCCTTCTCCAGCTTCAGATCCAGATGCAGCATTCGGAGACATTGCGCTCCCGCCTTCAGTGGAAATATTGCGTATCCGGGGTACATCACCTTCCGGGATTGGGACGGCGTCATCCACCACAGATACGCCCGACATACGGCTATGGGATCGACGCTCTTTTTTCTTGCTGCGTCGTCTGCTGAATGGTCTCTTTTGCTCCTGCCCTCCTTGTTCTCCTGCGATATTTTCGCCCCCATTTGCTTTCTGGTCAGGCTTTGGAGGTAATGCAGATGGCCCTGCTTTACCGATATCCTTTGCCTTACCGCCAGTAGAGCTTCTCTCTTCGATTCCCCGAGAAGTTGGTAACCGGTTCGCGCTGGACGCATTCTCGTTGGGGGAATTTCTCTGCGCATCCTTTGAGGAGGACTTCCTGTCCGGGTCGCCAGTGCGCTTGGCATCTCCAAACTTCGGTAATTTCACTCGCAGGTTACCTTCCTTCAATTCCATCCTGCCTTCCCGGCCCTCCGCCCGGGTGCCTTCCCCCTTTCGATCTCTGTGGCGGTCCCTGGAGCGATGTCTTGGTCTATCATGTGGTGGCTTCAGCGGCAGCCGTACCTGAATGCTGGAACCAGATTTCTGCTCCGTACCTTCTGCAGTTCTAGCCCTTTTTCTGGCGCCACCGTCTCCCGACTTGCTGTGGTTACCTGGTTCTTTTCTCTTGCGTTCGCGCGCTGACTCGCTATGCCGCTTTGGTTTCCGAACGGCCTCGTCATCGGAGTCATCTGACGAGTCTGCCTTGCTCGATGCCTCAACACCGAGGCGACTAGCTCGAGGGACCTGCGCGGGATCGGTTTGATGATTCGAGGAAGAGGTAGTGGGAAGACGTTTTCTCTTCCTTGGTGCTTTTTCCGGTTCAGATTTGTCTTTGACAGCTGTCGGCACTGACGTGACTGCCATGCGACTGTCGTCAGGTATCTCGTAATCGGTCTCGTTCATCCATTCATTGAACATTTCCGAATCATGCAGCCATCTGGTCTGGACATGCCAAGGCCCTTTATGAACCTCAGGCGGCTCCGGTGGGCCGTCGACGTCCTCTCGAGAGATCCATGAGTCGTAAGAATCGGGGTAGTACCACCAATGCACCAGGGCAGCATTTTCCCTATATTGCAAAGCTCGGCAGTAGTCAGTGCCTTCCGTTTCTTCTGCTGCTGTGCCATCTGGATCCGGGTAAACGATGTGCGTTGCGCTGGCAGCAGTCCCCACCATCAGGCCTCGCTTCTGCACAATTGCACGTAGCACGGCGTGATGAGCAGAGTCCACATTGGATGCGAGAAAAACCTTGATTGCCGGAATCAGGCCAGCCTGGAGCAAATTCCTGTGGATTCTGCGCAGGAGGTCCATGTAAAAGTCGCGCTTGTCGATATTCGAAAACTCGAGTCTCCTCAGCCCGTGTAATGCCTTGAAGTTCAGACAAGCGCATAGCATGATGTCGAGGGCGCCACTCGGGGAGTAATCAAAAAAGAGGTGGTGCGGAAACTTTGTGATCTTCTTCCACTGGGAACTTGCATCGCGTCCCAAAGCCGACTCGACAAACTGGCGCAGGTTGCCAGTAAGCAAGGAGAGCGAGCGCACGGTGACATCGACCGGGTTGAAGCCCAACTCGCTTTCGGAACGGGCATGGATGGCGTCGTTCATGGGGATGAAGCGCTTGTGCATGGCGGCCTCATCATACTCGCGCGTATTGACCGTGGCCGATTTCGGCCGCACAGTCGGCTTTGAGTTGCTCGTCATGGCGAAAGGAAAGAAGGTTGGCCGGAAAAGCGGGGGAGCGTTGACGAAGCACGGCGGGTGTAGAAACAGCACAGCAATGACACGCGCGGACTTGCAAACTTGGGTGTGGGCGAGCGTGTGCTGCGCTTGAGAGCGTGGGGCCAAGGCGGTCAGTGGGTGCAATCCGTAGGAGTGTGGGAGGCCTAGAGCGCTGTGGGTGCACAGGCGACGGCAGCTCCTGGACAGTGAGGCGGGGTTGTTGAGCCGCCGAGATGAAGGGGGTCGTTGTTGTATTGGGGCGAAAAAAGGAGAAACGGTCGGTGCCGGCAGCCGAAACGCGTGGAGTTGTTGATGCGCAGCGTGCTCTGCGCAGCCCGCCTAAATTTCATGCGACGGCCGAAGCTGACCCCCCTGAAATTTTATCGCCATTTACAATGTGATGAAAACCCCTCTGCCACGCAGCCGCCTCTCTGTAATGCATTACTCACACATCCATCCAGCCAAACTGAACACGTGACATCGGATAAAGGCAGCCCTGGCATTGATCCGGCGCACTCGCAGACGCCCGTCGAAATGCGTTTTCTCAACCCGTTGACCTTCCTCTCGCCCTTTCCCCTCCCGCGCACCGCCACGCTCCCCTCCAACCGCCCTCTCACGATGACGAGTGCGCCGATCACGTTCGTCACGGGGAACCAGAACAAGCTGCGCGAGGTCGAGAGCATTCTATCCTCGGACAACGGGGCGGCGAGACTCCGCGTGGTGGCGCGCAAGATCGACCTGCCCGAGCTGCAAGGCGAGCCGGACGACATTGCGCGTCAAAAGTGTTTGCTAGCCGCGCAGCAAGTCGGCGGCCCGACGGTACGTACAGCGTGTCCCTAGGCGGCGGGGGCTCTGCGGTGGCGAACAGTGCAGGGGATACTGACGTAGAGACGCGCGGACGCGGCGGACGCGGCGGACGCGGGACGCAACTGCTTGGCGCGCGCAGCTGGTCGAGGACACATGCCTGTGCTTCCACGCACTGGGCGGGTTGCCCGGGCCGTACATCAAGTGGTTTCTGGACAAGGTGGGGCACGACGGGCTGAACCGGATGCTGGCGGGATTCGAGGACAAGCGCGCGTACGCGCTGTGTACGTTTGGGTACTCGCCCGGCGTGGAGGGCGAGGAGGCGGTGGTGTTTTCCGGGCGCACGGAGGGCCGGATCGTGGCGGCAAGGAAGAAAGGGGACGGGCCCGCCTTCGGGTGGGACCCTGTATTTCTGCCAGACGGGTTTGAGGAAACGTATGCTGAGATGGACAAGGAGGTGAAGAACGGGATTTCGCACCGCTTCAAGGCGCTCGAGAAGGTGAAGGCGTACTTGGAGAAAGAAGGGGGATGAGGAAAAGGAATTGCAGCACACGTGTGCCACGAAGCACAGATGCGGTTGCTGTGCCCTAATAGGGAGTTTACGCACGCACATGAGAAATGCCGTGAGACAAATTTCTTGTGACGGTGGGGTCATGCGCGATGGTGGCGGGTGGTAGCCAATGGAAATGCGAGACGTGTCTCTATTGTTTTGCAACGTGAGATCGAGGCTGACGCATTGGAGCCGTTTGATCCGCCTTTTCATCCCTCGTTCCTGTCTGAGCTCGACCGCACGGGCAATTCCGAAAAGCGCCTCCCGATCAACTCCACCCACCAATTAAAACTTTATGGATGCGCCCCCTCCCCCGCCACGACCCACGCGTTTCCCCCGCTTCAAAGCGTACATCTTTCCCACAGCCCCGCGGGGCCCGGGAGGCC